ATATATATATAATATAAAATATGTTTGTTAATTAAACTGTTATAGTTCCTATTCAAGTAATAAAAATACATCAAGAAATAAAAATGATGAGGTCAAATTATAATTCAAACAAAAAATTAAAGCCGACCCTGTCTTGTTTGAAAACGGTTTTATTTACAGTGAATATGAGGGACCCTGGGCTAACACTACTTTCCGGAGCTTAGTTATTTAATAGAACTAATTACCACTTTGTCAAAAAAATATTTTATTTAATGATAGGAAAAAATAAGGGCAATTGTAAGTAGTTCTGTTATATAAATTACAAATCATTTATATTATTTTTTGATTTTCTAAATTTACAATATAATCCATTGCCTTCAATGGGAGCTAGAGACCCTTTTTATCTACGGGGCTATGAGCTGCAGCCGAAAAAGCCCATATATAGATCCGGCACTGACTTAATCCTTATAGAGGATATTTAATTTTGACAATCATCTTTAACGATCGCATATCAACTGTAAAAGAGTTACATTTGCTTGTTTCAATGTATGGAATTCTACAAAATCGGGAACAACATCAATAATCAATATGTCAACTGAATTTTTACAAGGATGAAACTGCTACATGTCATATATTTGCTGCAACTCGACAGGAAATTTGTTAGGTCAGGTCCTATCCGTATCCATGCCGTATCCGAATTTATTAGGGCATCAATTAGGTCTATTTAGCCTGATCTAGCTCTAATACAATTAAGGAATCAAATTTTAATTTTTAGTTAACGGATTTTCAACGAGAGGGTTGAGTTGAAACTGTTGAAATGAGCCTGAATATTTAAAATATATATAAAATTTAAATACTTTAAGGCGTTACATTTCTAATCCGGCTCAAATCAAATAACTTAACCCGATAAGGTCCACGCAGGACAGGCTATTTAACTGGACCCAAATACATGCTCTAAGGAATTCAGATCCGGACTCATCTTTAATGAGAATTATCTTATCCTGGTCCGATTTGAAGTGAATCCTACAAATAATTTGACATATGTGTGAAACCTTAATAGCAAAGGAAGTCATTAATAATATCGCATCCGGTCCGGTCCGGCAAGGAAGTAATAACTGCACACATTACATGTCTTGCACTTAGTCTCGGTTTGACAATGAACCATTCCTCGGTATACGATTGGTGCAATTATTTACCGGTAGCCATTCGCAATTTGTACCGTGCAAGACCGCGTCCTTTTATAAACATTAAACTTGCCTCAAGAAGTCGTTAACATAATAGAACGTTAGATATACCTTCACGACTCATACCGTTAGCTTACGAAGTAAGTGAGTGTTCTTGGTATAGAAATATAGGCAGCTAAATTTGCTTGCTGTAACCGTACTCTTAAACTTTGGTATATCTCTTCGCAATAATAATGCAATACGTAATAATGTTCCGCAATCACGAAGAAGACGACATTATAATAGATCATTACCGGTCGAAACGGTGCACAATTTTAACACGGTTTGAACACGTACAATGCTACTAAAAGAACTTATTAACAGTTCTTTTTTCTTTTGCGAATTAACATTTTTTTGACTCTTGAGCATGCTCAAAACAGTTTTCTTACCTAATTCTGAGGTCAACAACTTTGTTATGTTTATTATCTAATTGTAAATAAAATAGTTAGCCAAATATTAAATACTGCAAAATCTTGGTATAGCATCGATAAAAATGTGTTGTCTGATGCTGACCAAGCACTAACCCCGTAAGAAATTTCACGCACTTCCACTTGAAATATACCAGCCAATAGGTTAGGGTAGGCTAGGCTAAGGTTAGGGTTAGAATGGAGTTTCTGGAGAACAGGGAAGGACGCTTCGTAGAGACCAACATAATACCAATTTGAATTTGTTCCTCAGGGTAAAAAGGCTAATAGAAGGGGCTTTGAAACTAAATATATATATAAAATCGAACTAAAACTACAAATTTCTCTTTAATCACACTGAAGGTTTATTTTACGTCAATGTAATTATAAATAATTTGCCTGAAGCTGATACCAATTTATACCTATCTATATTGGTAGCCAATAATACATTGCTTGTGTTTATTTCCAATGATTAAAGAGAATTCTAACTTTCTTAAAAATAGTTCAATCGGTTCTTTTTAGCTAAAATTAGTAATCGATTAGGTACATTTATTACTATTTAATTCTTTCATATCGAGGTTATTTTTTCGAGAGGAAAACCAAATGGATTCAAACGAACAAGAAAATGTTATGTGATTTGGTAAACAGTAATGAATTATAAATTTTAATGTTTCCTTCATTGCGATCCGTTCGATTGCGAAACTTTTCCACGCCGTTTGTTTATTGAAATTTTGCTTCTGGTTACTATTTATGTGATAATTCTGATCGGCAAATTAACATGAAAAATCCGAGGCGAATTGAAGACGTCTGCATGCCATTAACATTTTTCTCTAATATTTTTAAAACCAATAAATAAGCAATAAATAAAAATTCAACTGAAATAATATTAAAAAAATAACAAGATGAAAGGAGGTATATTAATCTTTGTGTAGGCTAATGTATTACAAGTATTTTGCATGAAATAGTCTATAGGCAATTAATCATAAACAATATTTATGGCTTGTTTTCATTTTCATTTGTGCCTTAATGTGTTTTCCGATATCGTACAAATCCACGTAACGCTTTAATTTAAGCATAAGCACCTTACGCTAACTTGTGGGAAACAGTTAAGAAAATAATTAATAATTTCCATTGTTTTTTCGTTGTTCAATTTAGTTGGTTGATTTGCTGTTGTTACTTTTTGCAGAGATCTTCGGCCGCAAAGTTTGGAAAAAAGTCAGGAGAGATGTAGATTACGTCTGTACGAGGTTTACGCATGGGGAGGTCCTCTCGTAATAGCTGGTACCGCTGCCATATTGGACGTTATACCGGAGGACTCCGAGTATGCCTTCTTGAGGCCAAGATTTGGAACAAAACAGTGCTGGTTTTACGGTAAGTTACGGCAGAAACGTGCCTAGTTTTCACAGCGCATAAAATAAAAAAGATTCATGCCCTAATTTTGAACGAAAGGTACGAATTTTACCGTGAAATTGTCAGATCGTTGTTTACATGACTTGTGACTTTCACAGAACAATTTCATGTGCTAAGTAACTGTTATTTCGATCATACCATAACCTGCGTATTATTAGGTTGCATGTTTCTTTTTTAATGTCTGCTAAACACTATTTCCATGAAAACTTTCGTAATTGGACCAGGAAGTAAGAAGTATTTCCAATTTTTTAATGTTTTTCTCATAAGTAATACTTCACTTAAAGGATAAGAAGATCAATTAAAATCATTATTGGTTACTTAACAGACGCAAATTCTATTCAACATTAATTAACTGCTTTCTATCGTATTAACTTCCTCTATAAACGCAGTCAGTTTTCATGAAGAGTTCGGTAGTATTTTTTGAAATGTAAGTGATAGCGAGTGACCATAAGGACAGTATCATTAATAGGTATACAAAACTTGCTTAATAAAATTCAAAGCAATACGTTCCATTCAGGACTTTTCAGGGTTCCCTGCCCGGCATAGTTTTTCCGTGGTCGACGACATTATCCTTTTTCAGATATTTCTCTGTCCTCCGCTGTCGATATATTTAGTGGTATTACTGTTCATCAGTCTTGGTTCAACCACTTAATAATTTTATCGATTACGATCAATAATTTTATCGATTGCGCCATTAAAAGCTTTAAATTACATTTGCCATTTATTATTTACAGTACCACCCCTTCTAAATTTACCGACAATAACAAGGTACGATAAAACTGATAAAGGATCAAAATCCGAATTCTATCTACAACATCATTATCGTCAGTCCTAAGACTGGCTGGACACGCACCTTCACTCTTTCCTATCCTGCGCTAATCTTTGCATTTTCCTAAAGCTAGAGCAACTCATATCCTTAACTATTTGCGAACAGTAATCTAACATAGGTCTACCTCTACCCCTCCTAACCCCCCTTTCTGCCGCTAATATGTCTCTGACTAGACCTTCATACCTGAGAAGGTGTCCTACTAACTTATCTCGCCTATTTCTTATTGACTTTTTATAAAGTCCTCTGTTCTCTTACTCTTTCTAATACTTCTTCATTTCTAACCTTCTCTATCCACGGTATCCTCGTCATTCACCTGTAACACCACATTTCGAACGCTTCTAACCTTTTCTTTTCAGCCGCGTCCACTGTCCATGTTTCGCACCCTTACAACAACGTATTGAAAATTACTTGTTTATTAAAATTTATAATCATAATGAAATTGCTATTTTCTAACTAATACTTGTATGTGCAGTAGACATGCAAGAAGTCCCGAGTAATTTTTATCTGGTCAGTTATTTTTTGTTGTAACTTCATTTTTTATTTGTACCTACTGACTGGAGGTCACGACATTAATAAATCGCACCTCCGTATTCATCTGCTAACCGGTACATTAATGGCGATAATTGCTGTACAGCAATAAAAAAATCCCAAACAGTCTCTCTTTAAACAAAACCTACGTACAACGTCGATCGTCAGTTGACTCATCGTCTTTCACACACATGCACGGAGGTCGTCGTAATTTACATAAACCCAACGCCTAGGTCAACAGTGATGGCAAAAGAATTGGTAGGTGGCTTATATTAACGGCAATCCATAAAATTTTCGCGTAGGAGCAACACTCGAATTAAACTAATCGTAGGTGAACGGCAATTGAGAAAATTGAAAACTAAAAATAATGCACACCTACTAATAATAAGTAGAACGTATTTTTTTGGAAGAGTGTTAATTACTTGAACATTATTTATCATTCTTTCAATCAAAAAATTATAAAATCGTTTAATGTAGTAATTTGAAAACATTATATTTCGTTGGCAGTTCCCTTAATGAGACCATATAGGCAATTGCACCCCCTTGAAATTTGAAGCAAGCGGCAGATGGGTGTGAAAGGCGCTTATCACAACTCGGATGAGCAAAGATAAACCATTGCTTCGTGCAGCCCTTAACATCATATTTCGAGCGTCTTTAATACCACATGAGTGTTTAATAGTTAGCTCACAATGAATTCCGTCACTGTTTTAGGGGATTAGGGATAAGAATTTCTGTATGTATATATTACACCTACTTATTTTGAAGTTATGCACCCTCTATGCTGACAGAACGCGTACTTTTAGTTACGACAAATGTTATAGGGAATATCGTGAACATAGAAGAGAGATGTCAGGTAGGAATTGCAGCGGGCACACATTACACTAATTGATGTGTAACTGAAAGAGATGCAGACAAGCAGGATTTGAGCATTTTGCAGCATCAGATTTTAGAAAGTTCAACATTCTCAGGAATTTAGGATAGCAAAGACAAAGATATAATTCCAACAATGTAGTTATAAAGCCGACGGTGATCTTTTGCGTACTTAAACAATCTCCAATCACTGCACCGCTTACTGTTATTCGGTCATCTCTTTTCACATTGTCTGTGCTACTCTCCCAACTTAACAAGGGCATGTTCAAAACGCAGCAAATTACCAAAGTCCTAAGTGAAAACGAGAAAGAAGATTCTTACAGATAATTTATCGTGGACTATGCCAATTTTGATGGTCCCAACCAGGGATGTTACGGAGCTTCGACTCCGGTTCCGTTAAGTCGGAACTTCCGATTATTATTACATCTTCAGTTCCGACTTCGGCTCCGACACTTTTAAATCGAAGGTTTTGATCGGAGGTCGAAGCATAACATAGCGGCGGCCTGTGTCAACTGTTATGAACAGGTTCATAGTATGAACTTCATACATGTCGCGCGGGGAATCCCCCCGACTTCCACTACGTGCACTGAGCACTCTATCGTCAATTATTTTTTCATTGTTTGTGTTTTATTTTATAATTGAAAATTGAAAGGAAAAAAAATTGACTAAATAATGTTTTATTTGTCCTTACATAAAAATTCTCTCTCATGCCACCACTTTTGACCCTGCCTCCGACTCCGATAAAGCAAATTTAAAAACTCCGACTCCGCCTTCGGTTCCGACAAAACTACCTCCGTTACATCCCCGGTCCCAACTATAAACTTGTTGTTCAATACTTCTCAGAAAGTTTATTAGAAATAGTTCTGAAAATTTCTAGACGTTGCATTTGAAATTCTTTTTTCGTTACAATTCACGTTTGATTCCGTCGCATTTTAAAACAGTCGTCCGCTAGATACCATAATGGGATTGTCCCCATTGTTATGTCTTGTGTGGCACAAGTGCGTAAAATTTTCATACCATTGTTACCACGGCGTTTATCTGCCGTTACAGAGCATCAACTGTATTGTTATTAGTAAGATTATATGCTGCGACCATAACTTATCCATTTCTTTCGAATGCGCCTAGCGTGGAAGAGCTTTATTTACGAGGCATTCTAAAGTCACGGAACTAGTCGTATTTGGTTGTAAGACTTGGTTAATATTCAGGTTATCAACCTTTCATATTGACACTTTAAACGATTAAGCTGATTTATTCCATGGCGTAAATTCGATTTTTACCACAAACGGTCGGAAACTCACAACAACCATTTTCTTCAGATATTTACAGTAGATACCGTTTATAAAGATATCGGATAGTACGACGAATTGATTTAAGTAAGCAAATTGAATATGAACTTTCACAAAATAAATGTCAACAATGCTTTCATCATCATAAAGTCGTCAGTCTGGTTGGACACGCACCTCCACTCTTTCCTATCCTGGGCTAATCTTCGCATTTCCCTAAAACCAGAACAGCCCACATCCTTAACTATTTGCGAACAGTAATCTAATCTAGGTCTGCCTCTAACCCTCCTAACTCCTGTTTTTGCCTCTAATATGTCTCTGACTAGACCTTCATGCCTGAGAAGGTGTCCTACTAACCTATGTCGCCTATTTATTATTGACTTCCATGGAGTCCTCTGTTCTCCCATTCTTTCCAATACCTCTTCATTTCTAACCTTCTCTATCCACGGTATCCTCATCGTTCGCCTGTAACACCTTGACAAGATTTATTTGAATTTCTAAATAAACCGTTCGCGAGCATAGAAGTGACTTCTTTTTATTGAAGGCAACTTGACCCTGCCCTATTCTCTGCCTTATATCTTTATATTCGCTCTTTCCTTGCGTACCAGTATTTTTGTCTTACTTTTATTTATTGTCATACTCCTCCTTGGTAGATGCTAATACTGCAGTATCATCTGCAAATCTAAGCATACTAATCTTTTGCCCCTGTATATCCCTACAGTTTTACTGTCTTTAATGTGTGCATCTCTGTCTAAATCCCTTCCTAACATTTACTTCTCTACGTTGCGGCCCCAGCTCTATAACTGCCTGTTGCTCTTTTTATACAAATTAAGTATCACTCTTTGTAACTTATCCCTACATTTTTAAGTATATTTAAGATTGTCAAAAATTTTTTCTAAATCTACAAATCCCATGTACATACCCTTTCCTTTTTCTATCGTTTTCTCTATTGTTACCTGTAAAGCTAGAATGGCCTCCCGCGTTCCTCTATTTCTTCTAAACCCAAATTGATCTTCCCCTAATAGTTCTTCCGCCCTTTTTTCCATCCTCCTCTGTACAATTCTGGTTAAGATTTTTGACGCATGGGAAGTTCAGCTAATTGTTCTTAATATCTCGCACCTATCCACGCTTCTCTTTTAAATGCTTAGATGATAAATTTAAATATACTACCAATAATACTGTAATTTGGTGGTTATTTGTATTTATTCTTCCATGAAGGTAATCGCTCAATTACTACAACCGTTATACCTAAGAGTTTTTAGTATCCAATTTCAAGGGTGAAGTTGCATTATTATAATTTTCTCGCGGTCAGCATCAGTTCTTGCAGGATCACGCAATAATTCGTTTTATAATGCGCTTCTTTAACTGCAAAACGCTGTTTCCAATTACAGCTATCACGGGGATGTAATTACGTTGTCAAATTAATTCTATCGGTAGCAATAAATTTCGTT